ACATTTATTTATTTATTGTGTGTGTGTGGCCAGCTCAGCCCACCAGGGGGCGAGGCTGGCTGGCATGTGGTGCTGGGGGATCGAACCGCGGTCCCTGTGCTTTGCCAAGCCTGTTCCAAGTAGGTGCCTTAGACCACTGAGCCATCCCGCCAGCCTAAGTAGGTGCTTTAGACCACTGAGCCATCTCTCCAGCCCTTAATTCTTTATCAAAGAAGAACACCTAAGGTTTTATAAAGGCACTTAGTCAAGGAGGCTGGGGGCAAGGTGGTCAGGATATCATAGGGGGCTAAGTTAGATAAAATTAATATATAGTCAGAAAGGGACTGAGCTCTCTAGGAAGTCAGAAAAAGATGAAGATATCAGAATTGTGGCTGGAAGCTCATCTGAAGAAGGCAAGACCTTAAGATTAAAGTCACAATGGCTAGACTTATGTTCTTCTGTAAGGGATGAATGGAAATTTGAGACTATACTGTAATGGGTAGCACCCAGTGCATTAAGTCCAGGTATATACATCAGCCATCCGGGTGCATGACCAGAACACCTGGCCCATCCCTTTCTCAAATGTTCCTGTTTTAGAAGTCATAGATAAGCTAAGGTTAATGATCTCATTCATATGCCCTTGAAATATGTTCGGATTCCCTATTGTATCAATATGAGCTAAGTGGATTTACTTTTTATCTTATTTGTTTATTATCGATTGACTGAAATTATATCCATGCTTGTCAATTTGCAGTATAATGTACCCTACAAAGGGCTTTGGTGGCAGCCCATTTCTGGGGTTCCTCCTATCCCTAAGGAGTTTTTCCTGTTCCTCAATAAATCTTTCCTACAAAAAAAAAAAAAAAAAGATTAGCATCCAGGATTGATCACCACCTGGGAAAGCCAGAAAAAATCATTAACCCAACTACTACTGGCTGGCTACCAGATAAGGTCCTGTTCTACATGCATGTCCGCTTGCTCCATGACTCCCTTTCCCATTTGGTCCTGGACTTAGTCAATTTTACCTGAGCAATGGTGCTTGTAATCCCACTGGATGACCATAGTTTTGTCCCACCCCACATCCACCTAAATGAGTTCCCATTTTCTCCACCTTAGCCCCACGTGGTTTTACACTATAAAAGTCCCTGGAAGAGGCAGCTTCCTGGGGACAACCCGCTCGGGCCCCCCTCCTGTCACTCTCTACAGGCTTCTCCGCCTGCTTTGTTCCTTTGGGCCCCCAGCCCACTGGAAGGTGTCTACGTTCAGAGCAAGTCTGCCCTGCAGTTTGCTGGTCGTCATTTAGTGGGTTGTCCCTGGAAGCTGTCTCTTCCAGGGACTTTTGTAGTGTAAAACTATGCGGTGAGGCAGGTTTAAGGTGGTGGAAAACATGGGAACTCACGTAGGTGGGCATGAACTGAGACAAAACTATGGCCAACCAATGGGATTACAAGCACCATTGCTCAGGTAAAATTGATTGAGTCCAGGACCAAATGGGGAAACCAGTCACGTAGCAAGCGGGCAGGAACGTAGAACAGGACTCTATCAGGTAGCCAGCCAGTAATAGTCGGATTAAAGATTCTTCTGGCTCCCTCAGGGTGATGATCAATCTCGGATGCCAATCTTTAGGGAGGTGGGCTTTTGTTTGATCTTTGGTCTTTAGGTCTGGCCCACAGGGGGAGCATCCGTCCCTCCCATAGTTGTGAGGTATCTTGTCTTTTGTGGTATCTCCTTCGAGGGCCTGGCCCTGTCTGACTGCCTGTAATATTTTTATCTAACTCGGCTGCCTGCAGTAGTTCCAGATCTGGCCCTTACTTCTCAGAATGACATTTCACAAAGGCCAAGAAGGATGAATCTGAACTGCACTCAGGGTAGGTTCCTCCACCCTCATGCTGAACACCCACCTGAAGCAGAGCTGGAACCCAAGACAGGACTCGAACACAGATCCGACCCCACTGTCAGGCCATTTGCATCAGCTGGGCTCACGCTTCTCTCCCCAGCACAGCTTCACAGAAACAAACCCACAGGGACATAAATTCCTGTTATGTAAAACTATTTTTCTTTCTTCTTTTTTTTTTCTTTCTCTTATCTTTATTCTAAAGATAATTTTAAAAAACAAACAATAAGAATGATACAGAATTTCAAAGCAAGAAAATAGGAAATTAACAATTGTTATGTTGCACATTGTTATCTTCAAAGTAGTTGCTCAGATTATCAGATAAGTATGCAAGATACCTGGTTCCACCCAAAAAAAAAGTATGCAAGATTAATCAGACAAGCATTAACTATTTCTTGCAATAAACTAATAGAACTTAGTAGTATAATTTCCCTTCTTTTTTCCTTTCCACCATCCTAGTTGTTCTTTCATTTAAAAAAAAAAAAAAAAAAAAAGCAAAACAGTGCTAAGAAGATTCAAATCAGG